TGATAGATTGGGTCGCCCTCCTCCATCGTTTGGGAGCAGTTCTAACAGCTTTGTGTGGCCAAGATACAAAGGTTTTTGGTGACTGGCAACTGGTGAGCCCCTTGCCCTACTTTTACTTCATTTCCGCACTTGGGTACTTGGATTTGGGATGCATTGTAACTTAACCAAGCACTGTGCAAATGTGGCTTGTGAGTGGCTTGGCTGACCGAAGTCTCAGCAAGCCATTTGGAATCTGGTAAGCAAGCTCCGTTGGCAGGTCCCAAGGGCTCCTGCTCCTTGCAATGCTTTCGAGTGCAAACGCCGCACCATATCTCTCACCCACAGCAGGGGAATGCGCTGAAAACTTGGTCACCTACTTGGCTTCCACCTGCAACCTGAATCCTTTGTATTTTGTGCTTCCTACAAGTATCACAGAGGTTGCTGGTATTGAGAACCAGGTTCCTACTTCCTGCCGGTGCCTTGGAGGAGCTGTTTCACAGGTCAACCTCAACCTCAACAATAGTCCCTTCACGGCTCACATCATAGTTACCTGTTTACAGCGAACCAAAGCTCACTTCCCTGGAGATAGCAAGAATATCAGCTGCTGTTAATTCAAAAATTCTATGTATTCTTCACTTTCAGAGGCCAATCTCTTGAACACGTGTATCTAAGATGTTTAAATGTTGCAGGACGGAAGAGACGCATTGTTTGCTTAGTCCTGGCAAGGTGAAATCAAGGGTGTTTTGGTCCCCCCCATAGTTCTGGTCGACTCGTTTGAACCGAATATCTTCTCGAGCAACGAAGACACATGTCCACTTGTTCTTACTCCACGCAAGGCTCTTGCATGCTCGCTTCTGGGGCAATGGCAATGTTTTATTCTATTTTTACTCTAAACCAGGTTCACTGGGGTCTTTTCTTCCTCCTGTCCTCTGCTGTCTTGGTGGTTACGGATTCGCGAAGGTGTCCAGCACGGCAAAGCATGAAGTGCACGGATGAGCAGAGCCACAAGTATATAGACAATAGTCCTGGAGAAGGTGCTGAATTTCACTAGACTGAGTACCAAGTGTTCCAGCTTTCCCCTATGATTGGGTAGTTTGTAGGATCAGGAAGGCAGCAGAGCCACGGTTCCGTAGTTACCTTCACCATTCTCATGATTCAATGATCTCTATACCCTGGCTGGCCAAGCTATTCGGTGTTTGTACCGGTGCACATGGTTTGTCCTGTTTTAAGAGGTGAAGCAGTGCCACGTACTGAGGGCTTTTCTCTTCTGCCAGCTTTTGCTTGTTTTTGAACGGGCTAGTGAGTTGCGTAGGGAAGCCGCAGGGAAGCCTCTCATTTTCCACGTCCCGCATGCTCATTCCTCCTCCTGCCCCCAGCCTCATGTTTCCTACGAGTGATTTTTAGGCTTGCGGATCATTCGCCTCCCAGGTTGTCGGAAAGTGTAATCTTGGCATGATCAATGAAATAGGGCTCTCACTTCAACTTGTGGTGACTAGCCGTCAGTGCCAAATTTGCACCGCGCCACGCTGCTTCTTCAGCCCTTTATGGCTAAAGAGACTGTGGCGCTTCGAACCGTGGTGGCCAAATGAGGGGAGTTGGAGCTTCAGAAGACCTTTGCCAAGACGGGTGTTGCCTGGATGTGAGGATGTGTCTATAAAAAAAGGGTTCTCCAAAATGTGCAAAGTTGATGCGGACTGCATGGTACGAGGAACTGAAATCGAATTGAAGGGATGAACCCTTTGCCAGTAACATACAGTAGCGGATTAGTCCACACAGGAACATTAGAGTAATGGATTAGCCCCCACAGGGGACAAGAACTTTCAGGGGTTCTTCTAAAAAGTGGCCTTTGGTTTGCTTTTTACTTCGGAAAAAGCGCGTTTAGAAGACGCGGGCTTGAGTGTCGCCCAATCACTTGGTGGAGGGTAGATGGAACCAACTCTTGTTTTTTGTGTGTAGTGCTGAAGGATTTGAGAGCGGAAGACTGCACTTGCGTTCTGAGGAGGTTCTGTCATTCTCCAACAAGAAGCTACCATTGGGGATTTACGTTAGGTCAAGCTGCCCTGCCCTGAGAGCAACATTAAAGCACTTGGAGCAGAAGTTCCCTTCATTTGGCCGGAGATTTTCCGGTTCCGATGGTGTGTGATGCTGAAAGCACAAGGCACAGGGCATTATGTTACTGTTTGGAGCGTTGCCTCGTTGAAACACGGAACAACTTAAAACTCAAGATGAAGCCAAAGAAGCCCAAGCTTTGTGCTTGAGCCTCCCTCCAAGAGTAGTCTCAGAAGGCTCATCCGACACCTCCCCGCAGTGACCGCGGCCGTCCTTTTTCGAAGTTTCTTTTTTCAGAACAACTTTGTGGTCTAGTGCCTTGGGCAGATCTATCCTCTCTTGCGGGAACGACAAGGAGATATGTTTGTTGGGAGGAAATTGCTCGAGGGCGCAACAGAGGGTGATGCCAGAGAACAGGGTGGGGGAGAACACGGATGTGTATATATATATATATATATGTTTATTCCCTGTTGATTTCATAGATCATGCCACGTTGGGGAAAGTTTTGATGGAATGGTTGGCCAACTTGAACCAGTTCGAAGTGCCTTACCAACTTACCAGCCAGCAAGAAGTGGAGCATTGACGCGCACGTTGTATCCGTGCGCCAAGTGGCTGCGGCTGCTGCGTCGAGCACTTCGCAAGGTCGCCATCCTTAATGGGCAGGCGGGAGCTGAGCATTTCACTGTGCACAAAAAGGTGGAGGCGGTGTTGAAAGCACATGGGATTCGGGGTTTGAACTGCGTGTTGGATCCTAAGGCAGCACAGGATGACCATCCTTGATTGCAGGATGACTCCAGGATGACCATTTTTTTGAGAATTTCAGATGCAGGATTGAAGTTGAGGGTTTGAATTTGTAGGGGAGGCTCTTTCCCAACCTGGTGGCAGTGTTGTGCGACATATTTGCAAGTGTTTTCTATGGATATAAGATATTTGTACTGTAGATGAAAGCAGAAGGACACGATGCTCTTCAAGGTCTTCAGCTAAATCATCCCACCTTTGAGTGATTTATTCGCTCAAATCTCTTTGCTCTCTTTGCAAGGAATCAGGGGTTGATCATGAGCATGGGAAGCGTTTCGTCAGCTTCTGCTTGGCTTGGTGCCAGCGAACATGTAGCATCAACAAGGACAGGACCTCATGTTGCTCACTCCAAGAGAGGAGCCAAGTAGAGTGAGTAGCAGCTCTGAAGAATAGTATTTGTTGCCAGGCTCCAAATCTTCTAGGGAAACAAATGTTCAGACCAGATGGATGAACATCTCTCATGCACTCTCATGACTGAGCACCATGGTTGGCAAATGGCTTTGCTACATCCCAGTGACAGCTGCTCGGGCTCTTTGAGCTCAAGGTCAGTTTTCAACCCACTCTGCGCAAACTGGTTGAAGAAGTGCCTCGAACCACATACAGTTTAGAGAACATCAACGACATTGGACATGCTGCCAGCAGACTCAGGTCATTTTGAGTGGCCAAACGACCGCGCTCAAGTTGCTTTTCTCTGGTCCAGGAGTATCAGGCACCTACCGTTCCTCAGTTCCAACTTTTCAATGAGTCTGTTTTACTAGGAACAAGAAGCTACTAGGTGAAGGGCATCGCTATTAGGTTGGAGGCCATTCCTACTAGTAACAAGAAGCTACTATATAGTACAGTAAAACAATCTTTTGAATTATAGGACCGGATAACCCTACATGTTAACAACTTCACCAGACACAGGAGCGGACAATTGGTGGTTGTTGGGTGACAATTGGTTGGTGGCAGTTTGTTGGTGGCAGTCTGTTGGTTACAATTGGTTGGTGGCAATTGGTTGGTGGCAGTTTATTGGTGGCAATTGGTTGGTGGCAATTGGTTGGTGGAAGTTTGTTGGCGACAAATGGTGGGTGGCAATTGGTTGAGGACAATTGGTTGGTGACAAGTAGTTGGTAGCAATTGGTTGATGACAAAAGGTTGGTGACAACTGGTGGGTGGCACTTGGTTGATGTCAACTGCTTGGTGACAAATGGTTGGTAGCAACTGGTTGGTGACAATTGGTTGATGACAGCTGGTTGATGACAATTGGTTGGTGGCAATTGGTGGGTGGCAATTGGTTGGTGACAACTGGTTGGTGGCAATTGGTTGGTGGCAATTGATGGGTGGAGTGCGCCAAGTGCTGCGCCTGCCACGCAAATCACAGCACGTGCTACACAAATCTCTCGGCACAGCGGCGGAGGCCCAGCGACACCAGGGCAGCGGGGCGTACATCCGACACCCTGGAGAACCACGCAAGTCGCAACAGCACAGACACAAATACCAGCGGCACAGCGGCGGAGACCCAGCGACACCGGGGCAGCAACAGGGCGTACATCCGACCCGCTGGAGAACACCAAGGTACTGCAATCACAGCGGCGCAGACGTAAATTGGTTGGTGACAATTGGTGGGTAGCAAATTGGTGGGTGGCAATTGGTTGGTAGCAATTGGTTGATGACAACCGGTTGATGACAATTGGTTTGTGACAATTGGTGGGTGACAATTGGTTGGTAGCAATTGGTTGGTGACAATCGGTTGATGACAATTGGTTGGTGACAATTGGTGGGTGGCAATTGGTTAGTAGCAATTGGTTGATGACAATCGGTTGATGACAATTGGTTGGTGGCAGTTGGTCGGGAGGAGGGAGGAGGAGGAGGAAGGAGGAACGGATACCACACTAAAAACAAAACCCCACATGTCAATGTGGGGAAAAACTGTTGTGGTGACCTTGTGTGACATTTATTGTGGCACCTGGCAGCCCTAAGTGGCGGAATTCGTGCTTTGGCTATAAGGCTATATATTTAGATGTACACACATTCTTCCCTGGTCTAAGGAAACACTTGGCCAGGATGGTACAACGCAACTTGGCAACATGATAACCAGTCTGAGCCGTTCGTAAACGAAACCAGTGACTCATCGAAAATTCGACGGCCGAGCCAATCAGGTGGGCGGTTACGTGCTGGACTCCGGTGGTGTGATGCTCTCTGGATACGATGGAAAGAGACAAGCCTATGACACAGCAGGTGATTTTGTCAGCACCAAGGACATCCAACAAAAACACAACAAATGATGAACTTCAAACATGTACATCGAACAAAATGCATGGTTCGTTTTGCAATCCTGCCATTCTTGACTCTCTTCTCATGGAACGTGAAGGACTTCAGTTGACTTTTCGTTCTGCCAGCTTCGTTTGAACCCATAAGTTTACTGCAATCAGAATCTCACAATCCCTAGGTTCCGTTCATACGTTCTAGCCAGCAGTGTGGGCGCGCTTGCTTATTGCCCTGCAAAGGCTTGGTTGGCGTTCGCTTTGAGGACGGAGAGTGTGCGTCCATTCATAGCTCTGAATCGGAGCAGAGAAACAAGGTGAGAGTGGGGGCAAGGTGAGAGTGAGGGGATTTTTGAAAAGGGGGTCAGATCAGAGATTGAGTCAGGTGATTTATACAATTGTCCAAGGCTTATATAACTTGCTATGCTAAGCCGTAGGCTGGTCTTTACTGACAACACACTTCCCAGGTGGTTGAGAGGCAAACAGCATTGACCATTGACCTCTCAGGGAGAAGGATCCATCCACCCGCGCAGGACATTGCTGGGGGATTTCTGGAATTTGAGCTGCTGAGCCAATTTCGCAATAGGCACGATCTTCTGCATCAAGAACTCAGTTGGATGACACATCGAGATTGCGGATACATTGTGTTTACCGATGGCGATTCAAGAAGGATGAAAAATGAAGGTAAGGGCCCTGAGAGGGCCCTCACGGGGCCCTTACCTTCTTCTTTTTTCATCCCTTTTTTAAGACCATCCCAATTGATCAAATGGGACAGATGGGCCACCTTTTGAGTTGAAATGATTTGTTTTGGGTTTCTGATCGAACAAGAAACCATCGAAGACCTTTGAGCAGTTGGTTCCAGGCCACTGCTGAGTGTGGTGAATAGCTGCATGGGCTCTGACCGTGAAAATGACGGACACTTGGAGAATGGGTTTGAGACGGGGTGAGTGCACAGGTTTGCCGGTCAGGGACAGGATGTTGCAAGGGACTGCAAGGGGGCAGTTCATAACTGGAAAGATAGATGACTTGTTTTCACGGCAAATTGCATTTGTAACCCCCTTGCTTTTTAAGCACGCCATTAGTTCACGAAGGCTGCCTTTTGTGAGATTGGAAGCTCTTCTGAGGGTTTAGTCTTTGTAGACTCTCTCTTCATTTTGCGAGGTTGTCGGGTTCTGGGTGAAGCCACCTTTGTTTGACGTATGCTTCCAGAGTATCGAGTCTATGTGATCGCATTCATGTGAATGCTTGGACATATTTTTCTAGATCTGGATACTGAAAGTACATCGTACCCCATCCACATAGATACTCCTAGGAAGCCACTTTTGTCACGAAGCAACGAGGTCCCCCGTAGCCAGCATGCGCCGTATGGGCACAATCTGGTTAAACCGCTGCACCATGAGAAGGTATGGCCAGTGTATTCATTTGCGCAATCCGCAATTCTCTTGTTCCCTTCTGAGGGTTTGGCTTCTTGCTTTGGAGTTTGCTTTACCATCTATATTTCCATTCCTTCAGGTTCTTCGGCCTGGCGTACGGGCCATTGTGTTGCTGGCAAGCTGACCAGCTCCTTTGGCATCCCCAGGGTAGCACAGCATCTCCTTATAGGCCGCACACCCGACCTCCGTATACGGCTGGTGTTGTTCCTTCACTTTGCTTTGCCACTGCATCAGTGCCTTTGAATGAGCTACAATCTGCCTGCTTTGCAGATTGGATTCTTGTGGTGGAAAACCGCAGGTTTTGCTGGGAACTTTGAGGATGGCCTGAATTGGGTTCGCAGCTGAGTGAATGTTGTAACCTGTTCTGCAGTTGCCTTTGTACCTCGTTTGCGTTCCTTGTCTCACAGTTTCCAGCAAAGCAAGGTTCTTTAGTACATCAGCAAAAATTTGCGCAAGTTGCAGCCTTTGGACAATTTGTGTGAACGGTCAAGTCCTTCTGCATGAAACCACATGCATTCACAAGCCCTTGTCGCTCTCTTGCCGGTTTGCCTTTCGAGTTCTTCAGGCAGTTGTATTTTCAGCTTAAACAGGAACACTTGATTTGAGAGCAAGACACGTGTTTCTTGTTTTGCTCACATCTATTGCACCCTTTTTCTGTTGCTGGATCTTGCCATTTGCTACGTGCAGATGGCGGCCACACGAGGTGCTTTTTCGATTGCAGAATCACTCAGCGCATAGCGAGCCACTTGGATTTGACGCATTTGCTTGCACACCTAGAAGAAGGTTTGTGCACAATCGTTTGAGTATTCATTCAACAACACTTTGTTGTTTTTCCTTCAGATTTCTGAGCGCTATTCGTTGAAGGAAGTATGCACAGCTGGATACTTTTGATCTAGGGTCGTTACAAACTACATGGGAGGGTAAATGTAGCAGTGGATGCCTGTGAGGGTTCATGCGAACCCTCGGCAATGTAGGTGGGTGATCTCTCTTGCATGACACTCTGATGATAAGTTCTTTGGAAGTTGTAACTCGACTCATACTCATGTGACATGTGCTAATTCTAACCGGGGTCAGCACTCTCTGTGTGTGTGTGCCCCTTGTAGCCACAGGGATTCTTTTGCATTGTTTTAGCAGGGGAGCGGTGAGCATTCTTGAAGTCACCGCTCAACGAAGACACTTCAAGTTTGCTGTGAAATGCAATCTGGACGCAGGTCACGAAAGCTAGCTGTAGCTAGCTGGAGTCTGTCTTGCTTTAGCAAGGAGGGTGGGAGCCGAGGACCTGAGTGCAGATACCTGATTTATCAGGCTTTAACCTCCCCCCCCGCGGGTTCAACTCCACCCTTCTCCTCAGTACCTGCTGCTGCTTGGTCTCTTGCTGCTTGCATGCTTGGTGGTGCTGATTGCCTTTGGCTGCTTGCTGGTTGCTGCTGACGTGTTGGGGCATGAGCGAAGAGTTCGGTGCGGGAAGCGGGTGATGACAAGTTTGGTGATGTTTGGTGGAAGCATGGCAGTAGTTGAGTTTTCCCTTTGTGCATCTTATATTAACTATACTATTGTCACGCTGCCCAAGCTCGTGTCATGGTACGGTTGATGCCATTCATGCGGTTCAGGGTTGCTGCACTTGTTGCAACGCAACACTGCTGCTGCTGCTGCTGCCTTTGCTGCTGCTGCTGCCTTTGCTGCCTTTGCTGCTGCTGCTTTGCTGCTGCTGCTTTGCTGCTGCTGCTGCTTTGCTGCTGCTGTGCTGCTGCTTTGCTGCTGCTTTGCTACTCCTTTGCTGCTGCTGCTTTGCTGCTGCTGCTTTGCTGCTTGGCTGTTGCTGCTTGGCTGCTTGGCTGCCTGCTGCTGCTGCTGCTGCTTGGCTGCTGCTGCTGCTTGGCTGCTTTTGGCTGCTGCTGCTGCTGCTGCTTGGCTGCTGCTTGGCTGCTGCTGCTGCTTGGCTGCTGCTGCTTGGCTGCTGCTGCTGCTGCTTGGTAGCTGCTGCTGATGCTGCTGCTGCTTGGTGGCTCCTGCTGATGCTGCTGCTGCTTGGTAGCTGCTGCTGATGCTGCTGCTGCTTGGTAGCTGCTGCTGCTGCTACTGCGGCTGCTGCTTGGTAGCTGATGCTGCTGTTGCTTGGTAGCTGCTGCTGCTGCTTGGTAGCTGCTGCTGCTGTTGCTTGGTAGCTGTTGCTGGTGCTGCTGCTTGGTAGCAGCTGCTGCTGCTGCTGCTTGGTAGCTGCTCCTGCTGCTGCTGCTTGGTAGCTGCTCCTGCTGCTGCTGCTGCTGCTGCTTGGTAGCTGGTGCTGCTGCTTGCTAGCTACGCCTGCTGCTGCTTCTGCTGCTGCTTGGTAGCTTCTGCTTGCTGCCGCTGCCGCTGCTGGTTACAGTTATTGTTGTTGTGGCTGTTGCTGCTGCTGCTGCTGCGGCGGTTGCTGGGGTGGTTGTGTGTTGCCATGTGTTGGCTGTGTTGGGGTCGTATTGGGGGGGCGCTGTTGGCACTCTCCTTTTCCCTTGGCCATGGCATGTTGCGATTCCCGGCCTGGCTTTTGCTGCCTAAAGAGCCCCAGCGTTGTTTATTTGCCTAGCTTTCGCCGCCCCCCTCTGGGCCACAAGTTGCGCGTACCTGCGAGAAGACGATGAACGCATTGACTCTAGTGGTCCGCCCTGGCTCAGGCTGTTTGCAGGTCTTCTCAGGTTGCGGTAAAGTGCTAATGCGTTGGCAGTCACGCACGAACGTCGTCAACCTGTCGCGTGATCGTTGGAGCTTATGGCCTTTGAACATTGATGGACCTCCACTTGCTTTTAAGGTTCCCCACCTGTACTCTTAGGAAATGGTAACCTAGGCCGGCGTGTGGCGCTGCTTTCAGTTCAGTACGCAAAATCATAAGTGTGTCTCTCCTGGTGAGAGTCCAGAGTGAGCCCGACGAGTGCCCCCTGTGGACCCGTCGGACGGGTGTTAGTCTTCGTCCCTGCGCCCGGGACCAGAGTAGCTCGCAGCGAGCATAGGTGGCCTAGGCTGAGAGAAATTTGAGTTTTGTTTCATTTTGATTTTGGAACTCCAAGCTGGCTTATGCCTTTACGTGACCGCAGCGGTCTAAGCAGCCAGCCATTTTGGCACGGTGTACGTGGCCGCAGCGGCCGAAGCTTGTTCAAGACTTGTTGGAGTCTGTCGCGACCTTAGCCCCTTTCCTCCTCCCCTCCCCTCCTCTCTTCCCCCTTTGTCATCTTGGGGTGTTCCTGAATGTGATACTCAGGTTCACCCCTCTCTCACTGGTGTGTCCCTGGACGCTTGTGCGTAGCTGGGAACACCTGTCCTCTTCCTTCTCTTTTCCCTCTCTCTCTTTTCTCCTTCCTTTCCTTTTCCTCCTTCTTGATTGGGTGTCCCTGGATGCTTTCGTCATAGCTGGGAACCCGTCTCCTCTCTTCTTTGGGTGCGTCCTTGGACGCTTGTGTCGTAGCTGGGAACACCTTCTTCCCCTTTCCTTTCTTCTCTTTCTTTTTTCGCTTCTCTCCCCACCCCTCCCTCCTGTCGGGACCTTACAGTGGGATCCTACTAGGGGGTTGTGGCCTTACTAGTAGGTGCAAGGACGCTACTTTGTTGCTACTAGGGGTTCCTGGCCTTACTACTAGGCGCTGTGAAATGCAATCTGGACGCAGATTGCGCGTACCTGCGAGAAGACGATGAACACATTGACTCTAGTGGTCCGCCCTGGCTCAGGCTGTTTGCAGGTCTTCTCAGGTTGCGGTAAAGTGCTAATGCGTTGGCAGTCATGCACGAACGACGTCAACCTGTCGCGTGATCGTTGGAGCTTATGGCCTTTGAACATTGATGGACCTCCACTTGCTTTTAAGGTTCCCCACCTGTACTCTTAGGAAATGGTAACCTAGGCCGGCGTGTGGCACCGCTTTGAGTTCAGTACGCAAATCATAAGTGTGTTGCTACCTTAGCCTGGCAGTGGGTGTCCAGCTGCTTACAATAGAAGCAGGGAAAGACTTGCAGCGTAGCTGGTGCATCTGGTTGAAGCAGCCCCCGTTGAGAATGTCGAAACCGAGGTAATTAAGATCCTTGGTTGGTCAGCGCAATATAGAGCTGCGTACTGGTGGAAAACCAACACTTGTCATCAAGACATTACTGCCAAGTTGGAAAGGCAGGCGAAAGAAAACGAAGGAGAATTGAAACCATTCCTCAGCTGCTTGTAGCTCGTGAACTGGCCGCAGAAAGGATGAACATCTAAAAAATTGAGCTCATTACCATCGCAGCGCGGAAATTTCTGTGCTGTTTTAGCGGTGTCGCTCGGGATACTGGGTTTCCCCGGGGTTCCACGGTAACAACGGTAAACGTCGAACATGTTTTTTTTTTCAAATCTATTTTTATTTTCTTGCATTCTTGTTCTACCGTTCTCCCTCGTTGGTCGCTTGTTTTTTGTAAACATCGATTTTTCTTAAAACTTATCCGTTTTTCCCGGGTCGGTCGCCCTTTCTTTACCTCACGCGCAGTAAGAAAGGGTGAAATTCAATACATGTTGTTTTTCCGAAACCTTATCGCCCGGGTCAGTCGCCCATTTTTTTACTACACACGCAGCAAAAATGGTAAACATCGAAAATTGCAGTGCAGTATATTTTTTGCAGTTTTTCCCAGGTCGCAGGCCCATTTCTTAAAACGGTGGGTACCGCTTAGCAAAACAATGCGCGGGAACCGGCTTAGTGAAATTTGGTTTGGGCACTATAATGTGCTGCAGGAAGACTTGCAAGCTGAGGTTTACATATGCCTTTGGTACGCAGAACAAGACCAACCCCGGCTTTGCAGGCCGAGTGCAACTAGGCAAGATATGATGACCTGGAAATTTTGCAGTTGGATCAATGATAAACATCATCTGAAGCTGAGGTATATCTATGGTGTTCAACATGCAGCTGGCACCTCAAAGTCAATGTCTTTGAGAGCGAAGAGCAGATTTTGACTTCTGATTTCCACCTCAGGTAGAGAGTGCGGGGATGTGGAAATCTGTCACACGACCCTGCGCGATTGATTCTGAAGGCTGTATCACCAGCCACAACTTTCCAAGGCAGGACACCTTTGAGACAGGGAGTTTCAGCTTGATCAAGTTCCAAATAGATCCCTTGATCGCTTTGAAGTTTCAGCTTGCCAGTCTCGCACTGGGAGGTTTTATGGCTCTCAGGACAGCGTCAAAACGCTTCAAAAGAATGAATGCAGGCAACGGCAAAAGTGTTTTGAACCTGAATGCAACCTTTTCATACTTGCTCAGACAGTGACTGTGCATTCAACTATTGTTCCGACGATGTGTTCGCATGTGGCACTTTTGGGCGTTGAGAATTTGCTTTTCTGAACAACTTTCTCGTTCGAAGAATTCGCTCCGTTAGCAACACAACAGGAGCATTGCAGCCTGGAAGCTTGGCAGGATTTGACAATGGCACTTGGCGCCTGCGTGCGCGAATTGTATACTGTCTGCTTGCACGGTTATAGATGCAAAACGAAAACCCTGCTGTTGACATCAAGTTCCCAGATGGTGTCATACTAGTAGAACCAGATGTCTCTTATTCATCTATTGTACCAAGTTTCATGCCCACATGTTCTCCGCTTCAACATACCAAAGAGGAGAACCAAAACTTTGCAAAACACTACGCTGAACTTTTGAGTTGTCTTCAGGGCGAGTGTTTCTTGAAGATCGCTTTGAAGAACATGTGGTGTGAATCAAGGATATTGATGAGAGCCTGACTGGCCCGCTGCGTGTCACTGACTTTGAGACAGAAAAGAATCACGATGTCCTACTGGTCAATGGCCAGGCCAGTCTTTTTTGTTTCAGCATTGCAGGCAAGTTGCTTTGTCTCTTTGCCTTGCAGACTTACGTTTGGTATAACACTCGCTTGTACACGCCGAAAACGGCTCGCTTGCACACGCAGAAAACGACTCGCTTGTACACGCACACGTTGGAAGAATAGGAAGCCTTTACCATCATGGCTGCGCCGGCACACACTCCCAATTGTGCAAGGATCATTTGTTTTCCATGAAGGCAGATCTTCAAGGTGTCAGGTCCTTCAAGGTGTTCGAGGCTTCCGCAGGACATTTCAGACACGAAGAGACATGAAGACATTTCTGCGCCGTGGCAGCTTCCTTGTCACACAGCCTTTGACTCTATCGCCGTTACTTACGATGAACGTTTATGGAAAGAGATCGGAATTCCTGCCGTGATTGGGGTGTGGTGCAACAGGTCATTGAACGGCCCGCGCGTTCCCTAGTGTTGGCTGTGACCCCACTGAGTCCACAACTACGAAGCCTATTCTATGCAAAAGTTGCCATTCCAACATAGTGTAGCCGTGAGCCACCCAACAACGGTTTTAGAGCCCGAAGGGCTCCAAAGTTGCATGCCCTTTGTGAGCCACCTGAGGGCAAAATTTAGGAGGATAGCTGTTGTGAGCCAAAGGGCGGTGGCAGGCGTTACCTTCTGTGTGTCACCGAGCGTAAAACTTTGTGGAGGAAGGGCCGTTCCAATGTGGCATACTGAAGTGAGGATGCGGGATGGCCGCAAGGAAGGACTCCCGCACTGCGTCCATAGAGTGTTGAACGCCGAGGTTCTTCCATGTAGGTGATCAGCGGGGAGGGTATAATTTGGAGAAGGACGGGGCCACTCCAATGTAACCTGTTGTGAGCGACCGGGGGATAAAATCTAAGAGGAACCTTTTGTGAGCCACCTGACAGTAAAATCTGGAGGAGGAAGGAACCCTGACAACGTAGCATACCTTTTGTGAGCCACCGCGCAGTAGAATTTGGGGGCGGAATGAACCATCACAGAGTCCTGCTCGCAAGGGCAAGGAACCAATGGAGCCCCGCTTGATCTATATCAATGGCGCTCCTGCATGCCTGTGTATGGAAGCGTGTCGCTTCATGCGCACGTGAGTCATGTTTGGCGCAGGCAAGTGAGTTTTGGTTCGTGGCCCCTTCTTGTTTATATAGGCATTGGACTGCAGTGGGATGCGCTGGCTGTGAGATCAGTTCGACGCCTATACAACCACACCCGTTGTGTTCCCAACACGAGACTTTCATGGGAGACGTTGGATATGCAAGGTGTCTACAGGCTAAGGCATGTAATTGGGTTTCACACCCTTCAACCCCCAACAGGTACTAGGTCCTTGACCTTTCTCATGCCACGTCGCGTCAAGTCGTGCCACGGTCGGTGTGCTTGGCGGAATGGTATGCTCCAGGATATATATATATATATATTTACCATCGCGACTGGCGCAAAGTATGTTTTGAATCAATGGTTTACTACAAGGTGTGTATGCTAATCACAGTGGCGTGCTTATCTAGGTATACATGTATATAATGCACAGAGAGCGCCTAAACACAATTGCAGGCGGGTGACTTCGTGTTCTTGTGGGTTGACTTCAATACATCGGTTTGGCGTGCGGTGGACTGACTTCCTGTTGTGTGGGCTGCGAAAGGCGAACGCTCGTACACAGTGCTCGGCTGATGTAAAGCATAAATGACGTATCACATTGGCAGTAACATTGGGTGGGACATGTTTGGGACATACGTCCAACAAGTTGGGGTCCGTGTGAAATTCTGTGCAATCTCTCTCCTTCTTTGTATGTAAGCTTCAATGGCACAAGGACTTCCAGCGCCCTCAAGAACACTTGCTGGAACCCCAATCCAACTAGAACTGTGCCGCAAACACTCTCTCAAGCAGTCACCATTAAGCCACAATGTAAGAGGCTTTCGAGACCAAACGAATAGAAGAGGTTGCGTGCTTGTCCCAGAAATGCGACAAGGGAGGACCCTTCACCCCGAAACCAAAGCGGAGCCCTTTGGCTCCACGCTACGTACACACTTAGATGGTTGCTCGCAAGAGCTAGGATCAGAATGAAGTCCCACTTTACACGCATTAGACCTTGACTGAAAAAAGCGCAAAAGGAAAGGTGATGGGTCCGCGGATTTGAAGGTGTTTTAATAATGTGTTTCAACCGCGCGGCATCTAGACCAGATTAAAAATTGTGCAGGTACACATTCAGGCGTCCCTGAATGCTTCCACCAGTCTTCCGTAGCTTCGTTGGGCAACGTAGGAAGACTGGCCGTTGCCCCCTGCCTCTTTTTTTGCTCGCACTGTTTTTGATTTTGGTTTGGTTCCTAGTAGCAAGGCCAGGAGCAACTAGTAGCGTCCAGCCTTCTAGTGAGATCTACGGCAGGCAACCTTACTAGGCACAAACCTTGGAAACAGGTGTTAACACACACGCACTATGCCGCAATCGGCGCTCTGTATCCCTTTCCGTGAAACGATTGTTTGCAACAGCTTTGTACACGTAACGCCGATATCGACGCTCCGGAAGATTACCAGTCATCTATAAAAGCCTTAGAAAGACAGACAAAGAAAACAAAACAAAAGCACACGAAGAGGGCAAGAAAGAAAGATAGGTATAGTGACGAGGCCCACTTAGTTAAATGAAAGTAGTTAGCGAGCGGGACTTTTGTCTTAAACCGCCCGGGTAGCTAGGAGTAGGACAGGAGAAACAGAAGGAAAGGCGCCAACACACAAGTGTGTTGAGTGCGATTTCCTTCTGTTACCCTAAATAGCGGGTGGGATAGCAACAGTCAAGACCCTCCAGAACTCGAAGACCCACTTCACCGACCACCCAACCCTTACACAGCAACCGACCGCGACGTGGCCAAGCAGACCTATGGAACCAGCGCCCACAAACGAATATCCACCCAATTCACCCATGCTGGAGTACGTGGCCAAGGTCCTCACCAATGCAGGCATCAAGGCCACCGACCTCAAAGACCTGGAGGAGTGGGTGTACCTGCTCAATTTTTAATCTGGTCTAGACGCCGTGCGGTTGAAACACATTGTTAAAACACCTTCAAATCCGCGGACCCATCGCCTTTCCTTTTGCGCTTTTTTCAGTCAAGGTCTAATGCGCGTAAAGTGGGACTTCATTCTGATCCTAGCTCTTGCGAGCAACCATCTAAGTGTGTATCGCCACAGAGTCCCACTGACTGCTGTGGTGTGATCCCCACCGAGGGGCGCTGCGTGTGCGTAGACTCAGATCCTGGGGGATTTCTTCCACCTTGGAATTTCTTTTGATTGCTTCTGGCTTGACTGTTTTGCTCGATACCACTGATATTATGCCGCAGGGCTCACTGAGATTACGATCCAGTCAGGATTTGCACATGCGTCTAAGTATTCACCGGTACAGTTTCCACGACTAGTTCTTTCTCTCTTTCTGTTGCTTTTCGTTTTTTGAGGCTTTTCTTTAGGTTTCAGGTGTCTTTCAGGTGTCTTTCAGACAATGGGCGCGCCGGCCCACATCGGCTATACTTGAATGCCACTGATGGCAATGCCTTCGGGCCCCTCCCTGCCCCCGGCCTCTGCTTTGGGGGGGAGTGGGATGTCGTGGGAGTGCCAGCAGGGGTTGGGGTGGTATCCGCGACATCTGGAGACGCGCTGAGTGGGGTGGTGAGTGGCGGCGGTGGAGTCGGTGAAGGAGTAGGTGGTGATGTGGAATCGGTGGGTGTTGCTGGGGGTGAATTGAGGGATTGTTCTCATGGTGAGCTGGTATTGGTTGAGAACACTCAATAGGGGAGCCTGTGTGTGTAGCAGCCTGTGTGGGGAGCGCTTGTGGCCAGATGTGTGAGTGGGGTGGTGGTGTAACAAGCATGGCCGTAAGCCACAAGTTGAAGCGGGGTCGGGCTGTTGAAGGGGATGCAACTGAGTCGAAGTGGGGATGGATTGGATCGTAGGTGGGAGCTGAACGATGTGGGCAGTACATAGGTCCAAGCTGAGGTGGCAAACTGGTAGGCGTCAAAGTCGATGTGTACTGAAGAGGTGAGTGGCTCATATGCGGTTGAAGCTGAGGGACTTGAAATTGCATTGTTGGCATCGATCCATAAGGAGCCGAAAGCCGTCCATGGTGCCTGGGCAAGAGGCCCGTAAGGTGCCGTGGTGGTCGTCATCGGTGAAGCCTGAGGGATCCACTGGTAGTTCATGGCGAACTGGAAGGAAGAAGGCAAGCTGAATGATGCACGCTCTAACATGTCTGAGTTCTAAGCCCCGCCTGTGACTACTTAGACGCGCAGACTGTACAGGTGAATACTTAGACACGTGCATGCATGAAGGTGCAAATCCGGATCAGAGTTTGAGTCTCAGTGAGCCCTGCGGCATAGTATCAGTGGTATCGAGCAATGACAGGCAAGTCAGAAGGAATCGAACGAAATGCCAAGGTGGAAGCAATCCCCCAGGATCTGGGTCTATGCACATGCA